ACGATAACTGCACCGCAAGCGTATATTATTATATATAACACATTATAATATTGTGTATATAATAGCAAATAATATTATTATTATTATTATGTATAGTATACTGCACTGTTGCAGATAAATGGATTTTATTATTATAATATTATGTAGGTATAGATCTGTACGCGGGGGAGAGGGACTCGAGACGGAAAGAATAGGAGGAGGAGGAGGAGGAGGAGTAGGGAGAGTGACGATATATCTGCGAAGCTGTATACTCCAATATACAGGTAGGTTATATTATTATGACTAGAAAAAAAAATAACGCGCATACGCGACCATGACGAGGTGTGGTCGGGCACTATAAAATTAACTACTTAACAGAACCCGCGCGCAGGTATTGTAAGTGTATTATAGGTATACGGTACGGCCGGTAACACCATCGCGGTAGTCGTCGGCCGGTTAATGGAAGGTGTGTTCCGTCGAGATCGGGCGGCGGCCGCAGAGTGTATTTGGACGTCACTCCGCCGCGGAGATGTTGTACTTTTTAACACACACACACACACGTTTGAGTGTGCGTGCGTACCCGTTTACGAGTTGACTTTGTCACATTCGAAGAGCACAAGACGTGTGAAAAATTTACATAATATTATTATCGTTGTAAAAACGTGCGGCGCGCGTGTGTTTATACGCATTACGCGCATATATGGGAGGCGGAACAAGCGGAGACCAGCGGACGGACGGACGGTGAGAGAGAGAGAGAGAGAGAGAGAGCGGAGAAGTCTAAGAAACAATCGTATAATATACACAATAAAGGTACGCAAGGCGGTGTGTTCGGGCGGAATGGCAATTACTTGTTTTACGCGACGTATACACGCAGATAAGCTATACAAGTTACGACGAACACCTGCTTAAAGGTCTCATCTAAAAACAAGTCATATAATATAATTATTATAATATAACGTGGCACTCTGCTGCAAAGACGAAGTTGTGCATATAATATTATGTACTTCTATACACAATATTATATATATGTAACGGATTTAATAGCAACGATAGCGTATGCTATGGGATATACCTAGGTCCTAGGGGTTCAACCAACTACCGTGATTGGGGGGTGACACGTTCCGCGAATAAAAATAGTATAGTTTGGTATTTCACGATTACTTAGTTAATTACCTTTTGTCCAAGTTGTGTGTGTCAAATCGGTTTGTCAAAACAATACAAAACTTATTAATAAAGAATACGATTTAAAAATTAGTTGAGAATATATTTTTTAACGATGTCGCTAAAATGTATCGATAATTTCTCAATTTGTTAAATAAATATTAATTATTTTAATTTTATTACATAAATTATGAAATCAAAATAATATACTACTCAATACTTACTTAAGGATAATACGTACGATTTACGAACAAGATAATATTTGCTTTATAAATATAAAAATGTATTATATTTTACTGATGATAGAGCCAGTACATTATGAACTAATCCGTTATTAATGTGTACAAGTGTACAACGTAGACTAATCTATAGATAAATCGGGTTCGTTTTCGAGATTCGGATACATCATGTTTGGATTTAGCTCCAATCCCCGAAAATATCTACCTATACTTGCATGTTATACATTCAATACTAGATGTTTAAATTGCAAAAAGTGAATATTATAATTGTTTGATGGCGAAAAAAATATATACAGGTATGAAGTACTGTGAACCATTTTACACTACACGTTGGTACCAATAATGTACTATGTCCATGATTGGTTTTTTTAACCCTAAATAAATAATTAATTTTATATTTTTCGCAACAATAATAATTATCATCATAGTATATACCTATTGTCTTCTTCAATAAATTATCGTAAAAAGTGAAATCTTTTATTTAGGCATTAATTGATCAGAGATTGCTGAATTATACCATGATACGTTTATTGTGACTATAAGTTATAAAACGTAACTAACGACCAAAATGGTATTTTAAAAATAAATTTAAAAATTCTAATTTCGGTGGGACTTTAAATTGTTGTTAAAAAAATCACTAAAATAGAGTTCAGATTTTCATGCGTATATTATTAATAGAATGATATAAATCAATATATTCTTTATATATTAATTTTACTATCGAAGCACTATCGGTAATATCGATATTAAGTTTAACCTAGTTCCATTGTAGTTATTGACTATATTATGCTTAAAATTGTAATGATATGCTCACACACCATTATAATAAACTAAAATCTTACAGAATACTTAATAAATAACGGCCAGACTGTCGTTTGTAGAAATCGGTCACATCAAATAAAACCATTATTAACGACAACTAAGATATCGGCACGCACTCATAACGGTAAAACGCAGGGTGTGTGACTTTATTATACGATGCCGCCAGAGAAAAGGAAAGGAAAAAAGGGTATCTGCCGCCAAAGAATAATCTAGTTCCCAAGCTCACGATAACCTTTTGATAAAGCCGCCTACCACTCTCTGGTCAGCATCTTCTCGTCATCCCTTAAACCAGTGCATGAGCACCATTCACCGAGTAACAACCTCACAAAAAAGTCTAAAAGAAACCGATTTCAACGAGCGACACTCTGGACTCCTTATGTGAGCAATAATCAGTGCGTTTATTATTTCGATTTATACTTTAAAAAATATTACTCTGTGTCTATTAAAACCCTTACAAGATAATTCATAATCGACTGCGGATCAGGTAAGGCAATTAATATAATATTTTATATTAATTGCATTTGTTATATTATCTGTGCATGGTTTATATACAATTGTGTTGTATAGTGTATTTGATCTAATTCTCGAAAACACGATCTCGAGAGCCCTCCGAACACCTGGAGGAAGGTAATTGCTTAGTCTTACGATTTTAATATATTTATCGACAGGCGTCGTATTTTATTTTATATCGTAATTGTTGAGTCATTACACAGTGGCGCCCAACAAAGTTCAGTTTATTCAGATAAATAAACTGAGAATTGATCAAATACATTTTACAAAATTATATTAGATATAAGATTTTAATATTTTATTATTAAATTTAAAAATAAATATTTTATGTTAAAAAAATTATCAACCCAAAAAAAAAAAAAATTAAAAATAAAACTTAGAAAAACAATAATAACTAAAATTAAAATTAAAAGGCTTATAAGCTTATAAAAAATTTACTTATTTAATAATAAAACATAATAAGTAACAAACATTAAAACTAAAAACTAAAGCTAAAAACTAAAACTAAAAACTAAAACTAAAAACTAAAACTAAAAACTAAAAACTAAAACTAAAAACTAAAACTAAAAACTAAAACTAAAAAACTAAAACTAAAAACTAAAACTAAAAACTAAAACTAAAAAAATATATATTATAGGTACATTCATAAAATTATTCTATTAAATTGAAGTAGGTAACATCTTATTTATAATATATTATATTATATTAATAATAATTTATACAATTGAATTTTTATAGTAAATACCTATTATTATTAATTAAAAAAAAAAAAAAGAAAACTAAGATACAATTTTTTTTTTTTAGGTAAAACAAAATTAATTAATTTAATAACTTAACCTAAAATCCAATATAAAAAATATATATTTGTTATTTTTACATATAATACAATATACAGTATACATTAAGTATTATTAGTTATTATAATAAGAAAACAAACTAAAATTTCCCCTTTTCCAGTAAAACGAAAAATTTAATCATTTAATAAATTATAATATATCATTCAAACCTTAACATCAACAAATTTTCTTTTTTTGTATAAATTAAGTGACTACAATTTAATCACTAAGTAAAAATGTATACCTAAAACGAATATATAATTGTATAACAATTCATACTTGCATTATTTAATCAAAAAAAAAATATTATAATTATATATTATACATGAATTATTATACAAATATTTATTACGAGATTCTAATAATTAAACCTTAAAAGAAATTAACAAAATAACATAATTATTTAATATAAAAATATATAGATATAATTCATCAGATGAATACAAATCATAATCAAACAATACTTATACAAATAACTATTCGTCACATTTTTATATTAGTATAAATAAAATCCAAAATAATTAATTAATTTTCATTAACTTTTCTAATCTTTTATATTAGTATAAATAAAATCCAAAATAATTAATTAATTTTCATTAACTTTTCAATTAACAATAAAGAATTTTTTTTTATTATTATATTATTCTAATACATTTAATAATAAATTTCACATATGCAAAATTCCGACCAAACCCCCCATCAGGATAACATTAAATTCCCAGATATCGACTTTACCACTATCTCAACAAGTTGGATAAATAAATGCAATAAAGAGAAATTAATAACTGAATTATCTAGAAGACACCTAAAAACATCCGGTTTAGTTACAGATCTAAAAACTAGGTTACAAAAATATTTAAAGGGGGAAGCCATTTCAGACGATTTCGATACGCAAATAACCAATATATCATTTATCTCAGAACCAATTGACAAATCTAACGGTAATCTAATAAAAAACAGTATGCCTGAGAATAAAAAACCATATTTCAAACCAAGCAATTTCACAGGTGCTATTTCTGAAAACATCGATACATTTCTAAAAAAATATGACAGAGCTGCCATCATAAATGGTTGGTCTGAAGCCGAAAAAACTCAATACATCCCTGTATTTTTGGAAGGTTCCGCCCTTACTTTTTATGATAACATAATAGATAGTGGTGAAGACCTAAAATGGGCTGATTTAGAAAAAAAATTTAGGTTAGAATTTGAACCAATAGCGCAGACCGATATGCTCCGATTAATGTTAGAAAAACGTAAACAGCTTCCAGATGAACACACGGTATCTTACATTAACGATGCTGAATCATTATGTAGGCGCATTGATAGTAAAATGTCACAAGAGGAAATGGTCCGCAATATAATGAAAGGCTTAAACCCCTCCATAGCACGATACATAGGAATAATGGGAAATGAAAATTTAACAGAATTAAAAAGTAATGTGCGGAAATATGAAATGGTTGAATTTATGATTACAGGTGACACTCCTAAAACTTCACTTGATTTCGAAACAGAATTAATAAAATCTAAACTCCAACAAATTAACACCAATAAAACCACAAAAGAAAATGAAATCGATAAATTACGCGTAGAATTAAATAACTTAAAAATTATGTGTGGCCAACTTATAAACAATGAACAAAATAAACAACACCAAAGTAACATAGAACAAAATAATTCACTCGCACTTAAAAATAAACAAGAGCAAAATAAGTTTAACAATCAACAATGGCATACACAAGAACCTCAAACACATAATACTTCATATAATAATACACCATATTGGAACACAAATCCAACACAGTACAACCAATCATATTCCCCATCAAATCCAATGAACAATATGTCACAAATAAATTATTCGCCATATAATTATAGGGACTCTAATATTCAAAAAAAGCAATGTTCAATTTGCTCAAAAACTAATCACTCAGAAGATAAATGCTTTTTTAGAAATAAACCACGCCCATCAGTGTGTCAAATTTGTAATAAGTTCGGGCATACCGCTAACAATTGTGATCTATACATCAACAATTCAAAAAACTAAATGTAAGGTTAAACACGGCTGATAATTGTTCACCTTTAATTACGGCATCCTCGTATCAACACATAAATAAAATTAATTGTACACCCGATGCCCTCTACATCGAAGCTGAATTTAATAATATCACTCTACCAATAACAGTTGACACGGGTGCAAACATATGTTGTATTAGACAAGAATTATTACCCTTAGAATATACAATAACTCCAAGTATTATACAACTATCAGGACCAGATAATAAACCACTATGTGTGGCAGGTATAACAAAAATCAAAATTAAAATTAACAAATACAACTTCGATGTAGACACCTACGTCGTCAAAAATCTATCTAGCGCAATAATACTGGGCAATAATTTTTTGATAAAAAACAATGCCTTAATCGATTTTAAAGACAATAATATTATTCTAAATAATAATTTAAACATTCAGCTAAAAATTAACTATATAAACGCGATAAATTGTATAAATAACACCAATAATATTATAGAAATAAAAGATAGCATATTTAATTGCCCAGATGACTTCGCTATAGCACACTGTATATCTACTGACCTCAAAATGAATAAGGGCATAGCAAATTTGATATGCAAAGTATACGGCGATACCAGACCAAAACTTGCATTACAAGAAATTAATGTGGGAAACACCATACCTATAAACAGCAATAATAAAACTATATTTCATTTAATAACAAAAGTATTACACTATCATAAGCCCAAATATGAAGATCTAAAATCTTCAATTCACAACCTAAAACTTGAAGCCATAAAACTAAATATTTCAAAAATTGCAATGCCTACGTTAGCGTCGGGTTTAGACAAACTAAATTGGTCCGTTGTAAAACAATTATTATATTCAGAATTTCAAAACACTAACATCGAAATACATATATACCATAAAAATGACAAAAACACATCACAAAATTGGAAATCAAAAGAACACTCTGATATAATAAGTAATATTCATAATTTTCTCGACAATAGTAATGATAAAAACGAAACAAAAATAAAAGTCACACAACCCGAATACAACGATCAAGCCTATAACATATTCTCTACTTTCAAACCAGGAGAAAACGTACTCAGTGATGGGAATTGTGGGATATACGCCGTCTGCAATGCTTTAAATGACCATAAAATTAATAAAATAACTTCAATATTAGAGATACTACAATTATTAGATCTAAACGAACTACCAGATTATTGGTGGTCAGATGAGGATTTAGCCGCGATTGCACATTATTACGATCATGATACTTACATATACAATGACGACGATAATACGGGTATAATATATGGTTATGGAAATAGGTCACCCATAGTGTTATATAACATTAATAAAAATACTCATTGGATACCAGGCACTTTAACAACAACAAAATGCAATAAAATTCCTAAAAATATAATCCACATACAAGAAATGCCGACACTCATCTCACTAAATAGAAATATAAAATTTAAAAAAATAACAAACGATAGTAAAAACACAATAAATAATATAAATAAAATACAAATAGTCCCGACTCATAATTATACAAAAATAAATAAAGAACTAACAGACTCCTCCAACACACACACACAAAAATCATTCCCTAAAGTCGAAAGGATAGACTATACAAACTTAAATACAAAACAATCTTTAACAGATTCTGAGGGCACACCCTTTTCTATTTCCCCAAAATTAAGTATCACACAACACAACCAAGTTATTCAACTATTAACTGAATATAATCACATTTTTACTACAGACACCTCCAATATAAAAGCCGCTAATATTAAACCTTGCGAGATCAAAATGAAGCCGAATTATAAAGAACCAAAATTTAATGCACCCCATAGAGTATCACCACAACAGCGTCAAGAATTAGAAAGTCAAATTGACAAACTTTTAAAAGCAAACATCGTCAAACCAGTAGTTTCAAAATTTGCCGCCCCAGCTTTCCTTGTAAAGAAAAAAGAGATAGGCTCATATCGTTTAGTAGTATCCTACAAAGAACTTAATGACAGAGTAGAATGCGATCAATATCCATTACCTCGTACTGCAGATTTATTCAGAGCTTTAGAAGGATCAAAATACTTCAGTTCTTTAGATTTAAATAGTGGTTATTTTCAAATTTCTGTTGAAGAGAAAGACCAGTTCAAACTTGCATTCACTTCTGTATTAGGCTTATTAACTTTTACGAGACTTCCACAAGGCTTCAAAAATAGTAGTGCTATATTCCAGAGAGAATTAAATAAATCATTTTCACAAATTTTATACAAATCTATTATAATTTACATTGATGATTTAGTATCCTATGGCAGTAACTTTGATCAGGCGATAATTAACTTACGCGTAGCATTTGAAATCATTGACAAAACGAATTTTTCATTGAAAACAAAAAAATGTAATTTTTTTTACGATAAAATTGAGTTATTAGGACATGAAATTTCAACAATTGGTATACGACCGTTAAACAGAAATACAAAAGCAATCACTGAATTTAATAGACCAAAAACAATAAAAGACGTTAGATCATTTATCGGCATGTGTTCATACTATAGGAAACATATTAAAGAATTTGCTAAAATTGCACACCCACTTACCGAACTAATAAAAATTGGTAAAAATAAAATAATTTGGCTTGACGAACACGAAGAAACGTTTAATAAATTAAAACATTATTTAACTTCAAAGCCCCTCTTACTACATTTTAACGATGACAAACACGTATATTTGACAATAGACGCGTCTATATTGGGATTAGGAGCATGTATTGAACAGTCCGATGACACAAACACATTACGCCCTGTAGGATATGCATCTAGAAAGTTATTAGATTCAGAAAAGACTTACTCTTCCACCACCCTCGAGTTACTTGGTTTATGTTTTGGTGTCCAATATTTTCGAGAGTACTTATGGGGACGCAAATTTACAGTATTTTGTGACAACATAAGCTTACAATATTATAACAACCTAAAAATACCCTCCGCTAGGATAGCTAGGCTAACATTAAAATTATTGGATTTCGACTTCGATATTAAATACATAAAAGGCAAAGAAAACAAAGTCGCTGACTCGCTATCAAGAAATGCAATTAGCAATATTAAAATTATGAATATCATTAATGACGACAACGACGCATTGAATAACTTATACGATATTAAAACACAACAAAAAAATGACCAATTTTGCAATGACATAATAAAAGCACTGTCAAATATAGACGTACCCACTAACATAAGACGAAAATCTAGACAATTTACATTACAAAATGAAATATTATATTATAAAAGATACACACCACCAAAAAGTTATAACCCAATTCTTGTAATACCAAAAACATTGATTAATGAAATATTAAAATCCTATCACGATTCACCCACAGGTGGACATACAGGCATATCACGAACTATTCACAAAATTCAAAACAAATATTATTGGCCTTCATTACACAAAGACACCACTAATTTTATTAAATCTTGTGATGAATGTCAAGTCAATAAAAAAATGAGCGGTAAACCAATAGGTTTATTACATCCCATACCAATAACGACAGGAAGACCACTAGATAGGATAACATTTGACTACCTAGGCCCCCTAGTATCAAGCAACAAAAAACGATACATTTTAGTAGCCGCATGCAACACCACAAAATACATATTTACTAAAGCAGTTGAATCGGCCACGGCCGAAGCAACTGCCAAATTTTTAATAGAAATAGTATCACATTGGGGCTGTTTTAGAAACTTTTCGTCCGACCGAGGCACTCATTTCAGAAATAAATTAATCACTGATATATGTTCAAACTTAGGAATAAATCAAACTTTGTCAACGAGTTATTCACCGCAGACACAGGGGCTAGTTGAAAAAATTAATGGTGTACTAACAGGCTCCTTAAAAAACTATTTAACAAATGGTGATCAAACAAAATGGTCATATTTTTTGCCATACATAACATTAGCATACAATTCCACACCCCAAACTACCACCAAGTTTAGCCCGTTTTATCTAATGCACGGTTTTGAACCAATATTTCCCATAGATAACAAAATTATTCCCGAAAACGTACCATATTATTTAAAACAATCATTAATAGAACTAAATAAAATAAGGAATAAAATACCACAGCAAATTCATAAAGCTCAAATAGTTCAAAAAAAATACCACGATAAAACACATACAGCAATAAATTATAACATTAATGACTTAGTTATGATTAGTTTTCCATTCCTCGAAGTGGGAAAGTCTCCCAAACTAGGACCCATGTACAGAGGACCATTTAAAATAGTAGACAAAATCAACGATTTAAATTATAAAATAAAAATGACATTAAACAACAAAGAAACCGTCGACACTATACACGTACGGAGGTTAAAACCATACTACAAAAGGGTCTAAATTAGGGCATTTTCGATTTTAACTCTCTAAATACCACCATAATTAATCTAAAACGCAATAGGCTCAGCCCGTCAAAATATAAATATAGTTATATATTTTTGTTCTTTCTTCCTTCCCTCTCTCTTTTTGTTAAATTATTATAACAATAAAATAAATACAAACAACTCATACAATATTATAAAATACATATAAATGCAAAACGTGCAATATAACATATAAAAAAATATATCAACCAAACCAAATTATTTATATAACACGCACCACAATAAGTTCTAATAATATGAATTGAATATTAATATTCATACAAAAATAATAACAAATACACTACCTATTAATTTAAACATTTTACGATTAGTGCATTATTATACCTGTATGCACATTATTTATTATTATTATGTATAACATAACTTAAGTAACAATTAAATAAAACTATACATATGAGAATATCCTAGCCATAATATGTAAACCATTATTATTGGTAAAAAAAAAAAAAAAAAAAAAATTTAAATTTATATGTAATACGCAAATACACTATATAATTTAATATAATTTATTTGTCATACATTACTTTATGTTATGTTTTATTATACAGGTAAATGTTACAAACACACACTAACAGTA